ACACTACCTTCACTCCAGGCACCATGCACTCCTTGAATGTAAACATAACATTTTCCCTCACTAACCAGTCAATAACCTTTAAATGTAAACGACCATTACTTGCAACCAACATCACTTCACTGCTTTAATCGGTTCACCTACGAACAACTTTACACCTTGCAAATACATTTGTTTATGTACTGTCACTGACATTCTAAAACAGTTGATTTATTCTATGTCATACTTTCCATTGATCTTTTGAACTAAGTAAGCTGTATTGATTTGGCAAAATCCTGGACTCACGAAAGAAGTGGGCAAAAATGGGCACAGTGAGGTCTTACCAACACAAGCTCTGCCTGATTCATCCAAGGAGGTGCCAAGGATGGTACACTCACAACGGAAGCTACCAAGAGTATTCTGACATCTACCATTCAGGCACTGGCTGTCACGCAAGCACTCGTTGATATCTAGCAGTCAAAGGGAGGATTAGGATGCCATGTTATCAACTTTTAATACCAGATATTAGCCTGTGGTACATGACTCCATACTTAATTAACATAAATTCATAATTTAGATTTTGAATTATTCTATTTTGTTTTGACGTAGCCACCCCAAAGTAATAGGTTCCGTTTTTCCAGGATTCAATTGCAGACAATTGAAACCAAATTTAAGGTTGTAAAAGAGAGGAAGATTACCCTCAAAATGAATTTACATTAGCCAATGACTAATTCATTTCATTACTAAAGAGTCTTTTCCCAATGCTTTAGTTTTCGCTGGGGGAATTCAGAATTTGACATCTAGATGGCATCAAAATCTAATCAAAGCTACACCAATTTATCTCATGATATTAGATTGTATAATGACAGTCACAGATTTGACTGGTGTTATTCTACGCCAAGGTCCAATCTTCCCCCGTAGCCATAAAGTAGAGACAGTGACTACAGAGCACATTTGAAGTTGGTTTACATACAGTTCACACACATTTACTCATATCTCAATTTTTATGGCAGGAAGCATACCTCTGCACTGGACACTAGCTATGTCAAACTCGTATCCCTCCGGACATTCGCAAGTGTAGCTTCCTGGGGAGTTACGACAGGCACCACCACTACATAGCAACCGGTTGATGGCACACTCGTTGATGTCTACCAGGCAGGGAGAAGGAATTGTATGTAATCTTTGTTCAGTTTGGTGATCATTTGCAAGAGCTCACGCACAATCCCTTGATCTTGCTCCTTTAATCCTTGTGATTTTTTTGTCAGTTTTCTTTCAATGCATATTCAAATGTTCAAATGCATACTTGCACAGAAATTTAAACCCAATCAAATGTGGAAAAATGAAGGTAAAGAATCGATTTAAACAAATATTAAACAGGAAGCAGTTAGATAAATCAGGAAGGAAGCAGTCAGATAAACCTACCTTGCCTTTTCTGATAACAGTTTCTGAAAAGACTAGTTTCCAAATTGAAATTGGATAAGCAAAAACAAAATGGTAGCCACAATAAAAATATTGCAAACGATTGGCTCCCAGTTAATTCTTGCTTGGCACATAAATCTGGCAAAGCAATACCTTCTTTTGAAGCTCCATGGAAATTGGATAAAATAACAAAAATTCCTCACAACGTTCAAACATCAAGATTGGATATCCGAAAATTTTCGAACAGTGCAACTTCCCCAGATATGAAGCATTCAGGCTTTCTCATCAGCACTCACCATTACAATCCTTGGCTGTTACGTCAGGCTCAAATCCAGGATTGCAGCGACAGTGGTAGTTTCCAACAAGGTCTTCACACATTCCATTGGCACACAGGTCACCAAACAACATGCACTCATTGATATCTGTCCCAGTATCAAATTACGGTATCAGTAAATATTTAAATGCAACTGATTGACAAAACTCCTGGATTCAGACAAGGCCTTAATCATAACACCCTAGTAGTTACAACAAACTAGCAAGGGTGCACTCTTTAAAGGGTGCACTCTTTGCACAAAGTTCCACAAGGTATACTGGCCAGCACACCTTGCCTCATGAAGCCAAATAAGGCTGAAGTAAGTGGCTATGGGAGCCTAACAGGATGCAGTGCACAGATGTACAAAATGGACCCTAGCTTATGCATTTTACAAAATATTCCTATTAGTAGTATTATATATTTCTGGTAATGACACCAAGGATTCCTCAAAAGTGCCCTAGGCACTGTAGCTCGCAAGCCTGACGAAACCTGAAGAGAGGAGACAGTGAGCAGCATTTACAGTTTTAAAAGTGGGAGGAAGACCCCAGAGGAATAGTCTGGGTAAAACCCACGGAATCAGGTAAGGACTGAAAACCCAATCCACATGAGGACCGGATCGGGATTCAAACCCGGGCCGCAGAGGTGGAAGGCGAGGAAAGAATCATTACACCAACCTGACTCCCCAAAGACGTCAGTTTATATGTCCTGACGAACTTTGGTACCCTTCAACAATACATGATTCAATCAAGGACTGATGATTACAGTACACAGTAAGGCACCATACTCAATGCAAATAATACTTAAGATGTACCTAGTTCCATGTGATAAATTTCATGTAATAAATAGTCTATGTGAGTTACTTTAGGATGAGTGTGTTGTCAATGTTACAGATGACCCCCCTCCCCCCAAGTTTTTTGTGGTTGTAGCTTAACCACTTTCACCTACATTGTATTTTACAAAAGTTGCATCAATATAAAGTACTTGTTTGTCTTCCCAAATTACTTAGTTGATTCATGTTTATGTATGCATACGAGGGATCCGTTCATTATTGGATACGAGCAGCTGTCATGCTTCTCACTTTACTGGTTTATTTTGGGACATGACATCTTAGGCTTTTCCAAAATCTTGCTAAACTTGTTATTTCAATTTTCCCCAAATTTATACATCTTTGACAAATTTACTTCTAAAATTAATTTTGGCCTATTATCTTATTATTTTGCATTTCTTTAGACTAAAGGTGGATTCCTTTATTGTTGCAAATTTGCGTAATTATATAAAGTTATCATACAAGGGTCTGACACGGGCTGTGTGTGAGTTGCTTGCGGTTGCTATGGGTGACAGTCGCCGATAAGCAGGCCACTAATTCCCATGCAATTGAGCACTTCCGCCAAATAATAAAAAGTTTAGGTTTACGCCAGAGTTCTGAGATTCTTTACGCTTTACTTTTCCAAGTCTTATTACGGGAAACCCTCCGTTTCTTCATTATTGCACTGGTGCATCCAAAGATTGTGAAGTGGAAACATGATGCCGAAAATGTTGCCAAAAGTTGAGAATGTGGCTCGACTTTTTAAGGGAAACTAATAGACCTCCTGCAACACATTACTCTGATGACAGGAGTGACTCCAATTCAGAGTTAATATTAATAAATCATTTAGGCAAGAACTGCAATATCAAATGAAACCTTTACTATTACAATTAGAGATGTTTCATAAAAATAAGTCGGTCGCCAATAAGCAGGCTGCTAATTCACATACAGGTACAATCCCAAGGAAACGGCTGATGGCGACTCGAACTTCTGCGGCCCAAGGTCGAAGTAGCAGAGTAATTAATTAGCAGTTAGTATTTGACAAAGTCGCCAGGGGTGTAGCTGACGAGTAGCTATCCGCCAGGGTGGAAGCTAGGACCAGTGGAGTAATTAGTGCTGTGGCTGCTGCTACTATGGAGGAATAAGGGTGCATGGGTGTGAAACTTAATGGAGATATCGAGTATATGTATAATAATTATTATAGGTTTTAATCTAACTTCATGAATACCCAAAGAAGAACATTCTAGGCCTCACTGGTCAAAAGAGATGGAGTTATTAAAGTGTTTGAAGTTATTGGTCTCCGTTGTCTCTCTTTGTTCTGTGTGACCCACATTCCCAAATAAAATCACTGCCTAGTTGTATATTTCAACCAAATGAACTTTAATTAGTATTTTTAGGAAATTGATACGAACGATTCACAAAAGCCCGCCCCCAAGAGCTTGCAATGTGTTGGCCAATCACAATGCATGAAATCTGTCGACCCTTTCCAAACGTGCATTGGGTCGACAGATTTTGCGCATTGTGATTGGCCAAGGCATTGCAAACTCTTGGAGGTGCACTACTGTGAAACACTCGTATTGGAGCATGACCAGCAGAACCTCGTGCCACACATGATGCATCCGACGCCCAACATCAATATCTAAGACAAAGAACCAACAAGAAGTGTGTGATATGGCTCAACTTAGACGAGGGCGAAGGGACAAACTAAACGTTCAAATGGATTAACTTACTGATGCCCAGGCTATCCCGTCCGGGACCCTGGGAGCACATTTTCTCCCACTGCATGGTGCCCTGGGCAGGGCAGGGTTGGCAAGTAGGACCCCAGCCAGCTGATTGCTCCATGGTGACCACGTTGCAGCAACATTGGGAGATGGTGACTTGGATGGTAGAGCGGATAGTGCATCGACCTTCTCGGCTGTGCAGCGAGCAGTAGGCATGGCGGGACTCTGCATACCATAGGAAGACATAGGTATAAACGTAAAGCACTGTCCACAAGTCAAGAGGAGAAAGTTTCCACATTTCCACATCAAATTAAACAGGCGGGGTAAGGTCAGTCAAATGATGAGTCAGCTTTTCCAAAATTTGTATTTTTGTTTGTTTGTACATCCACATCTCATGTTAATGGTCCTTAGCTGAGTAACAGTCTCAGGTCTGAATCTCATAAACCTTGTTTCCTTAAGTTGATGTCTGAACAAATCAAGAGGTACCTGTTTAGCATAACTTTACATCAACTTACTTGGCTCTATTTCATTTCATTTACTAATTTGCAGTTAAAACCAACATGCATAATACACACAAGGAAACACTTCCAAATACTGTAAAAACTACCATAAAAGACAGTAAACAACACAAGCAGCACAACGGAAAAATTAAAACACCACAAGAAAAACAGAAACAAACAACTTGATCAATTAAAAATTTAAAAGGGCAAATGGACTACTAAAAAAGAAAAATATCAAATGAAAAAAAATTTTTCACCATTCTTTTCCCTTATGCAATATCCCAATTTTTAGGCCACCAATTAAGGATTCTAGTCTCATCGTATTCATGGTTTCATTTTCTATACTTCTTATACTACTTTCTTTTTCCCCAGTGATTCTCGTGCCATTATAGTTATCTAACTTTAATGTTTTTTGTTCCACTTTAAGGATGGATTAATTGGCTTTCGAGCTACAGTGGTTTATTTTAACGTTTATAAGTCCTGGCCATCTTAAAGTGGGTTCTTTTAGTTTGTTGTTTGAAGTTTGTCTTTTTATTTTTAAAATACATGTTTTAGTTTGTTTTGTTCACTCTTTTTTGGCCAAATAAATAATAATAATAATAGTAATAAAGAGCCACTGCATTCCTCTCAAAAATCGAGTCACTACTATCAGGTCTAAATCTGACATTTAGGTCACTTACTAATCTTATTGCACTTAGAATTATTGCAGTAGCGAGTGTTGTTTTTTTTTGTAAATGTTGGGCTATTATATTTTGTTTACATTTGGAATGTGACACTGATATCATGAAGTTAATTCCAGTAATGTCCACATTAAGACATTAGCCTGTTAAAGCAATATGTCATTATGCCATCGTCACATGTATGGAATGTACTTTGCAACAATAAAAAATATGTATAACAAGTAAAGGGTGGATTCAGGGGGGTCAACATTGCTCTGCCCCCCCCCTCAAAAAAAGAAAAAACAATGGGACCAAAATAAAAATTAAATACAAATAAAAAACATGAAAGAAAAGCAAGTTTTCTTGCTATCTTTCATTTTGCTTTCTTTCCAAAGGATGTAAATTCCCCCAAAATGTAGCCTCACCCCAGAAAGGCCATAAAAGATTACATGAAAAAACACAATTTTGGGGGGCTACCTCAACAATAAGTTTGGCTCCCCTTAAAATTTAGACCCGGATCCACCCTTGAACAGAAGCAAATTATCACGTCAAAATCAAAGATACTTCCTGGAAACAACACCCAAATGAAAGCCATAACAAATTCAAGAATAAAAAATATTTCCTTAAACATGGGGACAAATAGTCTCTCTCTTGGCATCTTTCCAAGAAGCTTTCTGAAATCTCAACAATAAAAATATGTGGTAGTTATACAGTGCTTTCACCAAGATAGGTCTGCCCACAGGATTTGAACCCAAACCGAATACCGAAAACCACTGGACCATGGCCTCCTAAATCGCATTACATTCTTCATACTCTGAACAAAAGTGGGAGACTTCCATTAGAATTGGGATAACCACAAGCCCATTAAAATAAACATGGCTAAGACAACATTCTTGAGACAATCTCTGTACCAGCGTGTTTTGTTTCAGGGATGTTTTGGTTTTTACAATAATCTTGACTGCGAAGTCTCTGATCACCTTCACATCCACTGCTTCCCTGCGTGTATCCCATGGGGCAATGACAGCGGTAGCTCCCTTGGATGTTGACGCAATCTCCCATCTTGCCACAGGGATCAGCCGGACCCTCTTCACACTCATTGATATCTGGGGGAAAAATCAAAATGAAAAGGATAAACTTTCAACCAACTGAGTGCATTTAAACTTTGTATATGTACAAGTACTCACCTAGATGTACATTGTACTTGCTACTGTCCAACATTTGGGTTACACTAAAACATACCAATAACCATGTCCCAATAAAATGAATATGGTCAATTTACAATATAGCACACCACCTAGAGGTCATTTTTCTAGTTCACAGCCAACAAAATCATGGCCGCTTTGCTGTGATTTTAATATGTTGGAGTGAATGTCAGTGGACAAGTTGTAAATTCTGCGATTGATCGGGGTATTCCTTACCTCTCAAAATACCACCATTTTGATTAATTAACACTGATACTCAAAAACCCTTTCAAATCTTTTTCCCAGACAAATAAACATTGGTTCAATTTCCCTACCACAGCAAAACTCATAGACTGAACTTTGTTGACCATTTTCCCATGACACTCTACAAAAAAAGGCCCCTCTGGAGGCAACCTCATGGTGGCGCACTGAAGTATGAATCATCCATATAACAACCATCAAAAATGGAATATAATATATCTGGAATATAATTTGCAGATTATTTTTTAGATAAACAATGTTAGAAAATTAAATACATAAGGGGTAATGTGTTCCACACCAGTATTATACAGAGTAGAAAAATTCTTTGGTGGATGAAGGTTACCATTTTTTTGTACATTCAATTGGCTCTAAGAACAAAGGTGGGATATTGGGATCAACTGGTGCTGGGTAGTCTCTTTCTTTCACTTCTTTTCTGGATTTGGAAGCGTCTTTAGAACTCCTTTTCAACCCCCACCCCACACTCTTAAAGTCCCTTACTGGCTGAGAAACATGACATGATAAATGTCAGGTTTGAATGAATGGAGTCTAGCTCCTACGCACCAATACACTGCCCAGGCTGAGAGGATTCCTTAAAGCCTTCCCTGCACACACATCTGTAGCTGCCACCAAGGTTCTCACATTCCCCATTGATACACACGTCACGGTTACTGCACTCATTGATATCTGAAAAGAAAACAGACAGAAAAAACTATATGGACCTTGTTAAAAATGAGGAGGACATGAAAAATCGAATGGCCAACATTGTCCTTCAGCGCAGAAAATATGCAAGTTTGCATATCGTTTCAACTGGTGAATGAACACGAGAGTGAGGTGTCACCTCCACTGTTGTCCCTGCACATGCAGTATGAAGTATAGAAAGTATACACACAATGTACAATGTATTCAGATATAAAGGGTCTTCGTTCACATAACCACTAAATGCAAAGTGAAAAATTCACACATTTCCCCAGTCTCTATCTCAACAGTTAGGAGGTACTGATTCACAGAGTACTACATGTAGCTGTCCATGATTCATCAGACAGAGCTGGCAATAGACCATAATTCAAAAGGAAACTATTTGTTCAACTTGTTACCTGCATCTATCCTATTCAATATAATGTGATGGTACCTGACTATTTTAGGCTACAAACCTTACTTTCATTTTTCAAACTGTGGCTTAAAACATTTGGATATAATTTATGACAATTTTAAATTATTCTAAACAAAAGCTGGCATGAATTTGAATTGAACTTTCATTTTGTCACTGTTACTGTAACTCACATACTCCTAAAATGGAAAGCTTCGCCTCACTTTCAATTCAAGATGGCCAACACAAGCTATGATCATCTATTCGTGAATTGAAGGGGGGAATGGTCGTGATGCTCCATCTTTTATTAAGTAAGGAAAGTAAAGTACTTCTAGGAATAAAAAGCTTTCTGAACCACATGTGCAAGGTTAAACGTTAACATAATTAGAGAAAACCACCTTCACCCCTTTGCAGTGGAAAGGGTCTGAATTTTTTCTCTTCTGAAAATCTTTGATCTGTCACTGCCACTGTTTAGTGTGAGTTCTCACCAACACAGTACTTGGAATCCACAGAGAGCTTGTAGCCTGGGAAACAGAGACATTCATAGGAGCCAATTCTGTTCTGGCATGTCCCATGAAGACAGACGTTTGGATTCAGACCACACTCATTGATATCTGGGGGGAGCAAAATAATAATTGCAGCATTTACAAAACTAACAGAGGAAAATTCTGCATACAGAATTTCAAATAAACTTAAGTGAACAACCAATGTGCAAACTGCTTTGGAAGGAAGGGTGGGTTCAGCGTTCAAAGAGTCGATTGGGCACTAACCACCCTCTCATCAGGGGTGGATCTGGGGGAGGGAGAGACCTGTTCTGAGAAAATAAAACAAGAAAAAATGGGGAAAATAATAAAAAATATCTAAAGTAAGTGCAACAATACCAAGGTGAACAATGTATGTCTTGTATAATGTTTCATCATTAAAATATCTCTGGCCTGACCCTCCCCTCAATAATTCCTGGATCCGCCCCTGCTCATCTATCCATCTGATCATTTGTTTCTTATTTCCACATTACTGAGAAAAGACCCTGTTTATCCTCAGCGAATGTCATGCAATATTGCAAGTCTGAATTTTCTGCTTTGGTCCCCATGCATGCCGACTTCAACAGTTTGGTCACTGGTCCTCTCTAATGAAGACATCCACACAAACCCCTCAGTTTTTTCCTACCAGTTCATCAGCTCTGCTTCCAGAGCACTATGGCTACACACATGACATGAACACAAAACAAGGCCAGGCATGCATGTACGTGCAAACTTGCCAACTCTGCATACGGGATACCTATCCCATTTAACAAAATTGTACCAACTATTGGTAAAGATATCAACATAAAAATGGTGCTACATGGTTCCAGTTTGAAAAACCTAGACAGACCAGTCTTTAGTTTAGACAACTTTGAGAGCCATTTTATATCGGTAATAATCAGTAGCTGAAAACATCAACTGAGGTTGGTGACATATTTGACCAAAATGAAACATGTATCCATCCAGTGTGAAGCAGGAAGTACATTATCATCATTTAACGTTTAAAAATATTATGGATTGTTCATTTTGCTTTAGACAGAGCAACTGCAGATATAATTTATCATTAAAAATCCTAACATTATGGTGAGATAGCAATCATTAAGAGGCCGAATTGTCCAAAAGAAAGAGTAACAGCTTAGAAACATTTCTATTTATCACATTTACTCTTAGCTACTTTAATCCCAAGAAAATATATAAAATATTTCAATGCTTGCCACTTCCCACAAGTTACAGCAAAATAAAGTTAAATATCTGCTGAGAAAGTGAAAAGTATATGCAAGGTATCATAAGTCACACAAGTTCCAGGAGTTAGCCCACCACATGTGTTTTTTAGTAGTGTGAGTCTGCGACAATTCGGTTTACCTTACAACTCACAATTACAACTCCAACATGCTACCATAAGCTTTCTTGTTAAGCATAAGTGAGCAAGCGTGTTAATTTCATCACATGGTCCAACACAAAAAAGGGAAAAATGGTTTTAAAATGAACTGCAGCATACTGACTGTCAGCAAGCACTACATTTATAAGTTTAACTGTTAACCACAATACCATAAAAATATTACACACACACAAATCTGGCCTACATAGCCCATAGTACACACAGGTGCAATCACTTTTTGCTTTGTAGATGTATGTCAATTGACAAGAATATATGTCACCAAGTCAGAAACTGAAACAGAGTTCAAATTCTTTTCAAGGAACCTTCACATGTCATCTACAGCCAATCTGCAGAAGTACTTTGAATCCAATACAGAGGCAAGCATTTACTGCCTTGAAGTGGGAAATGGCACGTATTTTTCAACAACATTCTACATGATGAGTTTAACAGTTGTTGCCTAATAAAATAGGTCAGAGTCAATAGACCCACCAGCAAGAGAGAGTTATGTACCCTCAAATGTACCCAAGTTCAAACTCTCAAAATTAATAGGGCGGCTATTTTGTTGTCACGGTAATTTAAGATTATGATCAAAAATCTGTTCTTCCCACTGGTGTGCACAAATGTGAGTCGTTCACCAAGGACAGTTTGATTTTGGATTTCAAAATGTGACTTCCGTTTTTCTCTCATCCTTGATGGTAAGGGTCACTTGGTTATGGCGACCTTGCAATGGAACACATGAATGGCAAACAGGACGGGTGCTGTCCTTCCGCCTTTTTTTATATATATCCTAACAGCTGCTCAATAACTTCCTGAAAAAGAGGGAACCTCTATGGAAACGGACACCGACATTTCTTAAATGTTTGTCATCCTGTTGTTACATATGCTAGCAATACATTGTCAAAGCTCGACTTGATCAACAGGCAGCTGGGAGCTTGTAATTGGGAGCTTAAATACACAAAGGCTGCACGGATCGTGTGCTTTGCATGCAGTTTCGGTTCCAAAACGGATGGCTGTGCATCATTCACTTCATTCCTGAACTTCATTTCTAAGTCAGCCCATGTCCTTCAACTCGCCTCTTATGTGGAGTATGCTGACCATCTTTCACCCCAACTATAGCAAACTAACCCAGTTTGTAAATTTTGCAGCACAAAATTGATATTCAATGTGTTTGGAATCAATTTAATACACCATTTTGTGTCTATTTTATTACTGAATGTCTGATTGAAGTCAGGATTGCATTCAACCAAAGAAAACAAAGATTAAAAACTATTTATTCATGTTAAATACAATATAAACTTGTGGAAGCTTGCATTGTAAGTTATAACATGACAAATTATGTTCATCTCTTAGGGTGTTAGAAATTCATTACAGTTGTTACATTTCTTAACATTTCTTTCTCTGACTTTAAGAATGTACACTATTCATATAACTTGTATACAAACATACCTAATAATTTGAGTTTCCTGCCATATGTACTCTGTAAAACTGTGACCTTAAAACAACTTAGGTGACACAAACATTTGATAAGGAATAATCTTTTTCAGACAGGAGAACTACTGTATCTCAAGGAAACAAGTCTCGATAAAGAAAATGACCCATTTGCTGGTGACTATTCACTGTTGAAAGCAGATGGGAAATCCTGACATTTGGGAGACAAATGTTACATAATAAGCAAGATATTTTGAAGCTGGTGACTGAGAGAGAGAGGGCAATACATCTTAGTAATTTCCTATTCCAGGAAGAATGTAATCATCAAAGGGAAGAGGATATGCAAGCTCCTGAATACATGATTCTATCTTGATGCAGACGCATTTTAGTTCATGCTGTATATTTAGTGCTGTCTGAGGGCCCATGAGAATAAATTTCACTTACTCATTAAACAAAAAATGACAAGTATTGTTAAGGGTTTAAATCCACAAAGGGATGGTGCGTTGGTGATTTTTTAATTTGTTTTGTAACTGACAAAAAAGGCAGAAGGAAACTCTATCTCCCTGCTTTGGTCTCATCCATGCAATGTTGCATGAATAAAACTTTACAAAGAAGCCCACAAAACAGCAATGCCTTGTATACTTCTTAAAACTTCAGTCCAATCCGACAGTGTTTTGTCATTATGGGCCAATTAAATATATAACAATCTTTCAATCACGTATGTGCCATCACTGAAACATGGTATAAACATGATCTACTAGCCAATCTTGTGTCCATTCCAGGATACACCATGGTTTGCAAATCGAGAATATATTGTCTTAGAGGTGGAGTAGTCCTGTGTGTAAAGAATGAAATCCACCCATTCTAGCCTATAAAATATTACTGTTCCTTGACTTCAGATGACCTTGAAGTTGAAGTCATGTGGATCGAGTTCATCCCACAGGCTACCTTAATTTAATTGATTTCATGTGTGTTCTGTGCCACAATATACTACCCACAACATGACAACCTAGTGGTGGATCGATTACTCCAGCGTATCCAGACCTCAGTGGATCTCCTCACCATAAAACACCCAGATGCCGGATTCATCCTACTGGATGACTTGAACCAGCTTGATATTAGCCCTCTCCTATGTGATCAATAATGATTTAAACATGTTGAACAAGAGCCGACGAGGGAGATGCTTAATGGATAGAATCATTACAAAATTAGTCTTTTTTGTAAGAAAGTTCAAATTCTGTCTCCAGTAGGCTTGTCCAATTATGCAATGTTACTATGGCGACTGAACCAATATTGTGACAAATCCAGAGTGAAGACAACTCATACAAATAGACCATAGCGCACTTCGCTCTTTCAGAAGATATGCGAACCTACATGATACCTCACAAG